AGCGTGGGGATGTGGGGCTTGATGCCCCCCCTGGCTCGTGCCAGCAGTGACCTGCAGCCCTGTCCCCTTCCCTGTGGAGCGACATGGGTGGGTTTTTGGGGGGCTAAATGGAAGGATGGGAGGAAAGCCCATGATCCCAAACCCTTTCCTTGGCCAAGTCATGGCTTAAGCGAAGGTTCTGGGGAGGTCACAGCCTGGTGGGGGACTCCCTCGGGTGGGGGACACTCCGATAGGGGCCACCAGCTTCTCCGGTATTTCGTTCCGGCAAAGCTTTGCTGACGTTGGTTAAGGAAAAGGGTTTCCCACCGTGAAGGCTCACACCGGGGGCTGGTGGGGAAGAGCAGGAGGGGTTAAACAATCCTTAGCAGCCGGCAAAGTGTCTCGGAGATTAAAATTCCAGCTAAAGAGGAAGGAAAATAATTCTCAGACCACCGTTAGGACCATTAACCCATCCCTGCCGTTATCTTGGCTTTAAAATGTGAGCTGTAAGGCAAGATTTGGGGGGGGGTTAAAAGAAAAAACAACCAATATATTAATAGTGGTGGTGACCCCCAACCCGGGGGAGCCCCTTGGAGCCCGGACCCGTCCCGCCTCCAAGCGGCTGAACCCTCCGGGTGAGGATTTGCTCCCGTATTTTTGTGAATAATAAATACCCAGCTCAGCCTTTTCTTTTTTTTTTTATTTTTTTGCAGTTCCAAGATGTCATTACCAGGACGTGTTATTTAAGGGGGTTGGTTTAATGATGGATGTTTCGTTTCAGGGTTTCCCCCCCAGCCGCCGGCGTCCCACCGAGTACTGCCCTACCCGGAGAGACCCCCGCTCTCTGCCATCCCCTCGCTCCCTCCCCTCCTGCCTCACGCTCTGGCCAGAGGGCATGGAATTCCTTTCTTAGAGGGAGAAAAAAAAAACAACAACCCCACATTTGGAGGTTTCTTTTCGACAGGAAAACCCAACCAGTCAACAATAGCAATAAGAGCCACTGGATACCCATAAATCCAGGGTTTGGGGGCGTTTGGGGTTTTTTTCAATTGTGAGTATTTTCAGGCCCTCTGAGCACCTGCCGTGCCCGAAACGCGGCGCCCCGCTGCCCATCTCCCCCTGGCTTTGCCACGAGCACCGGGCTCTCAGCGGGATCAGGCTCCGGGTGGTT